ATAGGTGCAGTATTATTTATGTATTTAACATTGAGGACAATTTTTTGTGCATTGTACAGAAGAATAGGAGTCTACCCTGTCCTCAGTTTCACTTCAGCCCCTGTCATTGTATAAGAATATGTCAACTGCACGCCTCTTTACGTTAGGTATTGTTTCTTGCATAAGGTTAAATAAATTTATGTTGGATTCCACAAATGCCTTGATGCCTTACGCAGAATCTAATGGCGTAAAAATAATGAAGGAATTACCCTTGTAAAGAAGTAAATGTATTAAGGGAAATATTTGTATACTGCTCAGTTGGATATTTCTGCTTTATATTTTGGGTGGCAAAATTTACAATATTTTTTTATAACTATGTACAGCTGATATTCAGGGCCCTCTTAAATATATGAAATAATGTGATGCTTTATATACTAGAAGTTTCATTACAAGGCTTACGGAGTGGAGATATTTTTAGCCAGAGGAAAATATTGTGACTCCCACAGGATTTGAACCCAGGACCCTGATATTGGAAGGGAAACATCAATACCACAAAGCTACACCTCCACTGTGACCTACATTTCAAAGCTGTAGCCTTACCCACTGATCCCTAGTTTGAAAAAAGTGGGTTCATCCTACTGTCTAATAACAACAAGCCCTTCCTCCTGTCACACCCACTCAAAAAAAGTGACTTTTACCATCTTCCACACCTTTGTGCGCATGTGATATTTTCACCCTGTCCTCCCTGGGAATCAGGAAAAGGAGCAGGTATGATAATAGAATGTATTATTAGAATATGGTTATGATAAATTCATTTCTGCTGAAGCTAAGGGTAGCTTCATTTGATTTGTCACGAAGAGAATCGTCACATCACCTGATGGTGTTATGATTATGTCACATGATATATTGGTCACATGGTATATATTGCTCCAGGTGTCAGTTTAGTGATCACGCTCTGTTTTATAATGTTAAATGTCTTGACCTAGTGGGGTTTAAGGAAAGAGGATTGGTTGGGGAAGGATGTTTTCTGGTAAGATTTTAATTGGTCAGTGGTATGTATTATGCACAGCATTTGCTTGTTAAGGGGACTAATCAAGCTGGCGAATGTGTAAGAGGTTTCCCAACCTCGAGGTCGGGGTTTTAATCCCTCGCTGTGCATTTCGCTTGTGTCCTTGAGCAAGACACTTTATCTGCATTGCTTCTCTCCACCCAGGAGTATAAATGGGTACCTGGTGGGGTTGCTTGCTCCTGCGCTGAATACAGCAGCAACACTTAGCATGTGAATCCAATGACCAGGGACAGAAGCGCTTCGTATCTGCAAAGAAAGGCGCTATATAAATAAATATGATTAGATTAGATTAGATTAGATGATGGAGAAACAAAAATCATACTATTAAATTTTAGATTTGTAAATGTTATTACACTGTCAATCAGCCATTAAATGCAGCATTTTGGAAATAATGTCTATTAAAATTTTAATAATAAATAAAAAGTTGAATAAATGCTTACTGTACTTTTGAAATGGCTGCTTATAATTAAATTTATTCAAGAACATCTGTTCCAATAATTTCACCTGTGTAAAAATATTGCAATAAACTTCTGTTTGCTACAGAACTGTTTACTTAAAGAATAATAAATAAATAAAAAAAACTGATTGCGTGTCAAAAATGTTGAATATTAAAACATGACGACGTGGTAATATAATATAGGGTGAAGGATTTTTGATATGGCCCATGCTACCAGCGCAATTTTTAATTAACTCACCTTTTCCAGATTAATGATGGTACACGCAATTCACATGACTATGATAGGACATGTCGTCATTGAGTTCACGTGTGTGTGTCTATTATTGTTGTTGTTACGATATAACCAGCAGGTCTGAAGGCCTTCTGTACTAGATAACTGATTCTACCAATTTAAACTCCAATATAATTTTAAAGTCAACCAACAGTAGGCCTTCTAAGCCTACAATGATTAAGTCCTAATACGGTAGAAATATTGTAAGCTGCTTGGACATTTTTCCTTAAGGATATGTTATGTACTTTGGCAGTGGTGTATCTAGTAAAGGGCCTCAGGCGCCACCCCCCCCCCCCCCATGAAAATGTTCCAAGCAAAAAAATCACACTCATGTAGATAAAAATCACTTTATTTTGCGAATGAGCACCCCCTCATTTAATCATCAAGCTTCACATTCATGCCGCCCCTCCCCCTACCCCAATCAGCGTCCCATTTCCAGACTTCTAGATATGCCACTCTATTATGGGTAAATCCAAGGAGTTGGTGTGTCTGGGCTTAGTTGGTACCTAACCGGAAGATCGTGTTTGTAGAGATCAGACAGGTTTTTCAGAAGATATTTATCTCATTGATATTACAATTTCAACATTAAATTGCTTGTTTACATTTAAATGCAAGGTAATCCTGCAAAAATTAAAACTAGATATTTCAGACAATGCTAAGGCTACAGTAGTCCTTCATCAATAGTTGTTATTATAATTATTGATTTAGTCAAATTGGTTAGCGTGCAACTCAATTATGAATTATTATGGAAGCAATCACTGCAGTGTAACAAAGAATGAGAAATAGAATTATGGAATAGCAGGGTATAGGGTGATTATACAGGCCCGTAGCCAGCTTCTTTAAAGGGGGGGGGGGTTTTCCTGGGCGTGAGTTCCACATTCGAAGCCCCGGTGGGGTCGGCGAAACCCCCAAAGCAAGAGGATTTTTGTGCTTTATGGGTCTAAATAATGCTATAAAAGCAGATATGTTTGAAAATGTCTATGTCTGGGTAGGTCTGCGGTACATTAGTTGGGTTGGAGGACTTATTTAGGAAATTATTTAGGAGTTTGCTAGAAAAGGGGGTTCTCCCGAACCATAAACCTCCCCCTCCCCCCTGGATACGGGCCTGTTATATTCTTCAGGGTGATTACGGACCCATGCAGGGAAGGTACCAGCGCAGTTGAAGTCTGGATTTAAATTTAAATTTGTGCTTTGTTCTATCTGAAGATTTTGTCTTAAAAGTTATTAAATACTAAATGCCTATTCATTATTATAGTTTATTTGAATGCTATTCACTATTAGTGTCATTAAGTGCAATTAACACAATATAAAATGACTCATAGATGTCAAACCAAGGTGTTAATGTCCTAATATCTTTTGTCCTGATAGCTTGCTCTTGGGGTTACCCTGCTAAAAGCATGGAGAATCTTGGTGGTTAAATGAGTTAACATTGTTTGGTTGCAAATCTAATATTATTATAACCTTCTTTCTTGTTCCTTGGCCAATATTTTTTTAACTTGCTGGTCAGAGTATACACATACTTGGCTTGTATGGTACAGTATTGTGATTCAGAAATTTTCATTGATCTTCAATGCATCAATCAAAATCGTTGCTCTCGCAAAGGTCTTACATTGTTTCAAATTTTCTGTGATCATGTCCTTTTGTTGTTTTTTTGACAGCATCATGATTTAACATAACAAGCTTATAATTATATCTAATTTGCCATGAGACTGCTCTATATATTGTGGTAAATATTTCTATTTTATCTTCCAGTAATATTATAACTTAATACAATGATAACAATTTAAAATATCAAAATAGAAATAGTTCCAAAGACACTTAAAAACTGTGGCCACCATAAATATCTTTGTTCACTGTCGTCATCATCACATATTCTTGAATATTTTGCTACAAAGTACGCTTAACAAGACTTCTCCAGTTGGAACAGTCATTGCTAGCCTGTGCATAAATTTATTGTTTTTCTTTTTGTTATTAACTCTAAATGAAATAAAATACAAACTTTTGATGATTGTTTCTGTTTTGTAACAGTGAACAAACTATTTAGGTCAAGGCCATTTTCTCAAGTACTGTAGGTAAGGGAAAAATTTTATTACATCTCCTTATGTCTTTTCCTCAGGGTAGATGGAATTTGATTTTTGCAGTAGCTGTGTGAGTTGATGTTTCATGGATAATATTAATATTCATTTATTCAATGACCTTCAATCCACTATAAACAAACACAATCATCTATACAGCTCAACATGAAAAAAGTTTACATGCATATGTTAGACCATACCCTGCAAATCCAGGTATAAATTAAATATTTATTGTATACTCATTTATTTTACTTGTTTTGTTTTAGTAGTTATGCCATTATGGTCATAGTTCATTGCTGAGAACAGACAGTAAAATCAGGGGAGAGTGTAGTCACTAGATGTCACATCTCTCTCTCTCTCTCGAACCGAAATAGCGGAGGGTCGCAAATCCAGAGGTGTACAGCGAAATGGAGGGTATTTCCATAAATATATATAAAAAATATAAAATCTAAACAAAATAAATGTTTAAATTTAGTAAATTTAGTACATATTTTAGTTGCTGCTATTATGCAATGCGACTGGATTAACCCTCTACTGGAAGTGTAGGGTGACAACAAAAAAAAAAAATGAAGGGGCCTGTTATATTTTTATTCTAAATTTCTTAAACATGGTATCCTTGTCTTGGTGCTGTCTCAAATTTCATTATAAACAAAATTATATGACCTAGTGACCTTCTGTTGTTACTGTTTTGTTTACCAGCTGTGTTAATTGATGATAATTCATTAATGTCAAATTCATTTTGAGATGAGTAAGCTCACTGTAATTGTATTTAATTAACCAAGTATCCATTGCAATAAACAGCGAAGCATATGAAGAGTCCTATGAAAAGAGTGGGAGGGATTGCAGCTGCAAAAAACCCAGGCCCAGCTGCTGCAGATGGTTGAGTGCCTACCAAGTCTTTGGCACATTCCATTCATCCTATAGGGTATATCAGTAAATTTAATTACTTAAAATAAATTCTTAAAATATGTAATAATATATAAATAAACCAAACATAAATCATGTATATATTTAGGATAAAAAGCATACATAAATTGGATGAAACATATTTGTAATATATGTTTAAATCATTATGGCATGTTTGAATTAAGAATGGTACGGTCCATATATATCTACCAATGACTGTGAGCCGTGCATAGAAACATCTGCTGACTTTCTTTTGAAGGTACCATCTATGCCAGAGGGGATAACACAGGCTGAGCTTTTACAATTTCCATTATTCACGATAATAAGTTACTGGTCGCAGTTGTAAAGGTACATGTGTCGTTGGGTAGATCATCAGTTACGAGCCGCACATAAATTGGTGCAGACTACCATTTTTCTCTGGATTTGATACATATAATAATTTCTCAAGTAGTAATAACATTTTCAGTGGACATTATAGTGAACACAGGCCTCTGTGGTATACTTCCTCTCCAAGTCTTGGTTGACTAATGGTTATTACCTCAGGATCAGTCATAGATTTGTGTAACACAGGTGAGAGCATTGTACATTTGCAAGCCTATTTCCTTTTACATTATTCATCTTCACGATGTTATTCAAAACAGAGGAAATTCCTACAGAGAATGCAGCCGGTAATAGCGGAAATTCTTTGCGGCTGTTGGCCTGGCTATTCTTTAACAATGTAACTCTATTATTCTTCTTTATGTGAGGAATAAATTGTTTTTATGTTTACCTGTAGCAAACATTGATCATTGTTCATTCATTCTCAAATCTCGCTGGATTTGTCAAATTCTATAATGCATTGCTTTAAACATTGCTGTATTTTGAAATCATATTTATTTGCTAATGATTTTTATTTCTTATTTTCCTTAAAAATTATTTAAATATAAATTATTTACATTAGCAATAATAAATTATGAACAAAATATGATTTCTTATATTAGTGTTTAAATATGAAAGATTTATATATCTATTTCGGTTATAACTTATTAACAGGTAATAACAAAATACTTGATTTAATCAAAATCCAAATACTCATAACATAATAACAAATTGGAAGTGTATTTTTTGGCATGAATACTGATCAGAAATTTGTTTAGATTCGAGGGAGGAACAAAAACAAACTAAACATACAGCAGGTGTTCCAGTCGATATGAATATATTTTTATGGTTTTATTAGTACAAGCATACTAGCCTTGTAATATAATATAATATAATGTTTTAAATCCTTGGCCTAATTAAGCAGAGTTGACAAGTGCAGTAATTACTTAGGCAGTGCGTTTCCTAGAACATGTGGCTGACAATATACTGTAATCAGTTTTTTTATTTTATTATTCAAGGTAATAAGGATTTATATTTATGTATTCAATTGTTTACATTTTTGACAGCTGTCTAGAGACCAATAGGCCTTAGATAGAGTCTAATGTATATTAGGCCTACTATTAAACTATTATTTTTTATTTTATGATATTAATTTTTATTTTTATTATTAATGTTTTTATCATTGATTGCTATTGTTTATATTTTAAATATTAATATTCATTGTTATTAATGAAAATATTGTTATTGTATAGTGTATCAAGTGATAGGCCTTGTATTTAATAGAACTAGGCTATATATATGCCTTCCATCTTATTGGGCTAATATATACATATATAATTTTTGTAATTAGGTCTTTTCAACATAATAGCAATCAACAAGTTTCTTTTCCCTCTCATGTGTGTGTGTTTACACAAGTGAACGATTGTATAAATTAGCCAGGGGATATAAACCACCCAATGGGACGGCTTATACAGAATTGTTGGAGCTTGCAAATGGGTGTGTTCCTAAGGCCAGGTGAAATACCTTGTAAAGGTTGTTGGCACTGGAACTTAACAAGCCATCTTATTCTTAAGAACAATTCCTGATAATGTCAGCTATTGTTGATTGACACTCAATTGTAAAGGTGATTTTAATTTTCCGGAAGGTTGTGAATTTAAGGTAATTAACTCAAATTGAAGCCAGGTTTTACTAATCGTGATCAAAGAAATATAATCCCAACATCTTTTATTTGTTTGGAATCATTGGCAAAGATTTCAAATTACCAATCTTGTGTCCAAATAACAAATGTCATAAGCTGTTAACAAAGTTGATTTAATACTAAAATTGAGTGGACAATTTTGAAATGAATTTTACAGATTTTTGGGAATGGATGTTTTGAGCAAATGGTATTGGTTTTGAAACAATGGTATTAAATACAATGGCTTCCCATTTTTTCTGGCTTCCATAACCGTTAACCATTTCCTGTAGATAGCCTCATTTCCGAAAAATGTTGACCTTATACACATTTTGTTGTTTACCTCTGCAAATAAACTGCAGATTGTTTATTATATTTTGTGCAATCCACCCTGTTGAAATTTGATAATGCTGCATTCTATAAAATTTTGAAAAAGATACAAAGAATAAATAGGTATTTCATCATTGTTAAGCAGATTTAATTATTTGGATGTTAAATAAGTATAATTAACAGTTTTTATGTTATGTAGGCTTTCAGTGACTTAATTATTCTGATCTCTTGAGCTTGTTTTTTGTGGGGGGTTATTTTTTTCCCCTTAGTACCTCTGGGTAAGAATGCTTTTAGCAGTATATTTGTTATTAAAGCCTATACATCAGAATTTATAATAATATAATTAATATGTTATAAACTATTTGTGGCTTTATATTATTGACGGCTAATCACTGTCTTATGAAAAGCGTCTGTGTTGTAGAAAGGTTTCTGAAGGAAAAAAGGATATTACTACTTCACTGTTTATCATGCTGCAATTAAATTAATTGCTTGTAAATTTAAACAATATAGCAACTACATAGTAATTTTGTTTGTTAAGTTGCCCTTTAGTCACTTTCTATTATAATTTTAATAATTGTAAATTAAATTAGGATAAACATTAAACATACATAAGTATTTCTTTGTTATTGTGTATTAATAATTTCCCATTTTTAGGAAGCATCCTTCAGTGTGAATATGACATACAGAGAGTTATTAACCTTTTTCTCAACTGTACTTCTGTGAAATGTTAAATCCATTGCCAGTTGGTTATAATGTGATAAGTACGGTATTTGCTGATTAAGGAACACGAATTAACGCGCATGATATGCGTGACATCTGCTCATGGCTAGCCGCTAATGACATTAGAAACACAAAATTGCATCTTCCCTCCCCATAATTAATCAGCTGATGCTTAAGCTCGTTACATGCTTTTGTTGTTGGTTTCTTGAGTAAGATTTTGTCACTCGGACAAAGGATATGTAAATCCACTGTCTTAATGAACACAATAAACAGCCGTTAAATGTATGGTAGAAGGAGCAACACAAACAAGCTAAGTATATTTTTTTTTAAAGCGACACAAAAACAAACAGCTTTTTATTAAGTATCAAAAAAAGATATGAGAAGATTGTTCTCAATATTATGATTATTGTTATTCTTTTATTAAGTTCTTATCACATCTCTAAAATTCCTAGTATTACTACTACAGAATTATTGTTTTTTCAACTTTTTATTATTGCAAAATGGGACAGATGGTGTGTGAAATTACATTCATGATTTAATCATGATCTGTAAATTACATCATAAATTCAATGTGCTATCCATGATGATATGATGTACTCTTTGCATCCATTGTCTTGATATATTTTGTCAGACCCAAATTTGGTATGTACAATACTATACATACTATAAGTATAAGTGTGTAGTATATAGTAATTATGTGTAGTGTAATATACGTATATAATTATTATATGAGTAGGACCACTCCATATTAGTTAATGTTTTTAAGAATCATCTCATAAAAAAAGTTAAAGCAAACCCCTGAACATGAGCTTCTTGGTCCAGTTGGAAGTGTTACCCTCCATAAATAAAGTTTAAATAAAGAATAAAGAATCAGTAAAAAATACAAAGAAATTTGAATTACAGAAGCTTAGATCACAATACCAGGTGATAACATGATTTAACTAACCAAGTGCTATGCATATATTTGAGTAAGAATGTAACACTGCCTAACACCTGGAGCTAATGCTGACACCTGGACACTGCCAGTTTGTTTTGCCCACTTCACAAAGTGCTTTTGCTTTAAGCACATCAAACAAGCTAAGCAAAACAGGATGAATACAGTGGGCTTCAGATTTGGACACCCAAACAGTTTACATCACCAGGCCACTCTCAACAGATTGAGGATGCTAGGTAGGCACCGGAGAAGCATTCAGTAGGATGTTTATGGGTGATTAAAAATCTCTTTGGAGTGATTGAGATTTTAATAGCTGCAGAATACTCTCAATTACTAAGCAGGCTCGATTCTTATGATACATGTTAGGCTTAAGGCTAAGAGCTGCCATTGTGTTCCTACATGATGTTAATCTATGGTTTTAATTTTCAACTGTCAAACATTTTAAGACTAGTGCTTAAGACACTCACAGGTATGTCACATTCAATAATCTGTTTGAATCAGTCGTCGTAATTCCGTGGATCAATCAACTGGTACTCAGAGTAGTAGATAGTGAATATTTGCTTCATACAAAACATCCCAGCCTCCATCTATCGGATATGTAAATGATAGTGGCATTTATATTTTTAAAGGTTAAATTTAAGATAAATACATGCTTTTCTTGGTGTATTTATGCCTTCTGTAATGGACGTTGTTCTTAAATTATACTTGGTTAACATTTTCATTTCAGCTTTAAAATGTTCCTAGCGTTTTAAATCATTGTATTGATTTCAGAGTCGTTGTTGCACTCAATAGAACAATGATAATAATGTTCTTATTGATTTTATTTTTCTCTGTTCAGATCCATTAGAAGGCAAGATGCCTGACTCGCCTATCGACGCAGCATTAGTGAAGCATCCATCGCAATGTTCACCCAATATGGTGCAAGCAAATATGGTCGCTTCTCACCCTAGGCCAGTTTCCACAGGCTCCTCTACAGGTACATTTTATGCTCCATTGTCTAAATGCAGTACCCTATCATGTTATACGGTATGTGAAATTTACCTTTGACTTGCCGTATTTGGGTGTGGTATAACATCGTTGTGCCCATATATGGTTCTGATATGGTACTGCATATTCATACCCATATATGGGTATGATGAATAAAAATTGATTTTTATGAGATGTAATGATGCGATCATGTTATGATAAGCTTTAGTGATAATGTATTATAACATAATGCAAGTTAAGTTGTGAAGACATGCAATTTTTCCAATTTTTCATGATTTGTAAATTATGGTAAACGTATACCTAAATTTATTGTGTTACAGGAGCTCCCGCATTGAACGGCGTGCCATCTCCACATCATAGTACACCCTCACCGCCTGGACAAGTTAACGGGCAGGAGCTACCTCCTGCATGCGGTGCACGGCAACTAAGTAAACTAAAACGCTTTCTGACCACGTTACAACAATTTGGAAATGATATATCCCCTGAGATTGGTGAGCGTGTACGAGGTCTGGTCATGGGACTTGTGGTAAGTCCTGTCAAAATTTTAAAATTTTATAATTCTCATTTTCAATTTTTAAATAGTATGCATCATGGTGCAAGTTACATGCTAACGCTGAAGTGATTGTATAATACTAAATCCATAATATATCCATAGTAGTGATAGTGAAATAGTATATGCTATATCCACAGTAGTATTTGGTTAGCTAGGTTAGTAAGCTAGGCTAGGAAGTAAGTACTTTTTTAGGCCTCATAGAATCTATGTATGAGGTATATAAAAAACAATATTGACTGCTCTAGATTCAGGGTACGGTGAAATCTATTGCCCCTCTGTGTTCTAGAGACCGTATCCTACAGTCTGCACATCACCGAGGGGCAATAGATTTCACCATTCGCCTCATGAGCAGTCAATATTTGTATACTATATCCACAATGTGATCATCCAATATTATATACTATTTATCTGCAAAGCGATAGTGTAAAACATTTGCCTTTACAAAATAGTGATCATACTGTACAATAGGTGTTTATGTACAGGTATATCCATATTATATATATTATAATGAAATTAAACAATCAAATTTTGTTTATTGTCATTGATTAGTTGTGGTTTGGTCACTACAGCTGATACACATGACCCTAGCATTTTTCATTAAGACTTTAATTCTGTAAAATGATATGTTGATAAATATAGCGTGCACAGTGTTAGATCAATGAAAGAACAATAAACAATGCTTGCTGCCAACTGTGCATATTCCTCCCAGCAACACCTGTTCAGTATTTAGGAGCAAATTACAAGTGGAAATTATAGCTTTCTTCGTCAACGATTTAATGATAATTGAAATATGTAAATTAGTGTTAAATAAATAATGCAATACTCTTGCTACACCTAAATTAATAATACAGCTTGATGGTATTATATCCCGAGTGACTCATTAGTAAATAGATAGTATGTACTATATCCTCATTATTAACTTGATAGTAATGTGCTGTATTATACCATGATAGTTGTGCTATTTGTTGATAATGTTATAGTATATGTTGTTTAATGGGGGACCTGATAGTGTGTCTATGTGCTAAACCTGGAATGATTGGTGATATTATTACAATGTATGTGCTATATTGTCTTCAGTGACCTGGTTAAATAACTTTTTTAAACTGGTTTTTTTGTTTGTTTTTTTGTTATATTGTGCTATACCCTCATGAATATATATCCTTATTGACTATAGAATGTACTATATACTAGTAACTTAATGATAATTTGATATTTTGTGCAATCCCTGTACACTTGATGGTAGTAATAATTAATAGTAAAATTTGAAATTATGACAGTGAAGGGATTAAAACTAAAAGATAATAAAACCTTGAATAGATATATTACAAGATGACAATTTTAAATAAGTGTCTGAATTATTTATGAATTTGCATTAAAAATTCATTTCTTGAATTACATTGTCACTCGGTCGAATGACCCAGCAGTTACAATACAAGCATGACAGATGGTTAAGTTTCCAGGGAAATCCATCTGTGTTTTTTTAATGTGAGCGTTCCCTGTTGCTTCGGCAATAACGCGTTTGAATCTTCAGGTATCTTTTGCACTGAGCGAATATGGATTGCAAAAATATGATCGAGAAATAATGAACCGTGGATCAGTTTTCATTATTTTTGTTCATTTTTCTTCTTGGTTCATCTTTTATTTGTACGCAAATGTATTAATAAACATGTATTGTAATGATAAGAAGAGCAGTCAAGTGTAACTATCTGTGAGCAATTTTCTCTGCAATAAACAAATTATTCTCTTGAAATTTTTATCATATGTTATTACAGTAGTGCTATTCTTTATGTTGCATTAAAAATTCAGGTTTTTTTTGTCGTCTTGAATTTATTGTTATTCTCTTTGTTAAACGATTTGATTTGAGGAAAGCACCATACAAAAAAATGGATTGCGATATTATTTTCATGAACAATATATTGTTCAGAACTTTCGCTATTGTACCGTAGTTATAGTATAAATTTAGTTTATTGTTGCTGAGTCTTTAATTCTTTGTTAACAATTGTATTCAAATACTTGTTATTTTTTATGGGCACTTGATTATATTAATATAAATGAGACTATATAAAATAATAAATGATATTTTTACTTTTATTATTTTTTTCAGAACAACCACCTAACAGTTGAGGAATTTCATAATAAATTACAAGAAGCAACCAACTTTCCATTAAGACCGTTTGTGATCCCATTTTTGAAGGTAAAGCTTATTATTCTAAAAAGATTTTTTTTACGCACAGTTTTTAATTTATTAATTTTTACAAATACTTAATATTGAATTACAATAATAAATTAGTAACTGATTTCATACATTAAAATACTCACCATGAGTAAGTAACTGTGATATGAGTTGATTTATAAAGAAGGATTTAATGAAATATTAAACAATTGAAATTAATTATTGAATACTTCTTTTACACATTATGTTATTGAAATGTAAATGGTGTGTTTTTTGATTGGTATTGCACTAATCATTTAAACTAGGAAATATACATGTGTATCTATAAACATTCTTATAGTGTCTGAATCAGTAAAAAAAATTCTTTTGCATAACACAGACACCACTAACAGTTTTTGTCGAAAATGCAGCAATTTTTAAAAATTGTTTCTTATTATCAACAGACAAATTTACCGTTACTTCAACGTGAACTGATGCATTGCGCACGGATGGCGAAATTGACGCCTCAGCAGTACTACATGCAGCACGAGAACCAGTTGCTCGACACAAAAACTTCACCAATTGAGACAGATCAAATCCTTATGGATGTAAATGAAAATGGGAAAAGGAGAACTCCCGAAGGAAGGTAATAAATGCCACTGGACTGGGAATTCTTTTGCTTGCCCTTTATTTCATATATCTGCTTCTCAGCAACTAAGACATTTTTTCATAATATAGAGAATAATGTAAATGTGGTAAATCCTGTTTAATATATAACAGATGTTTTGATGAGTTAAAATATTTGTCATTAAAATTCTCCTTATGAAGCGTACTTTCATTATTGTGTTTGTTTCATTATTTTGCTTTATCTTCGAAAATTTTATATCTGCTGTAGCTATAAATTGAATTTTTATAGTTATATTTTAACTGCATCTGGAAAACATAGTTTAATATTTGCATGGCTTATCTTTTGTTTGAAAATAAATCATAAGCATTTTTCTCTAAAAACAGGTGTTTTTATCTTGAGTAACAAAGACATAACATTGTTAATTTCACCTTTCAATAAATATTAAAATTTTATTTGTTTCATGTGAATGTACCAGGTGTGAATAATTAGCCTTTTTCAGTAAATTATAAAAGATATATTCTTGAATAATTCATAAAAGAATGTAATAGTACTTTTTCTATATGTTATTAGGATATCTAATGGACCTAAAGATCTTCGATCCGATCGCATCACAGACCATCCGGCAGCAAAACGACGTTGTTCAGGCAGTCCAGCATCGGGACACCAGAACGGTCCCCCAGGTAACCATTTTCCACACATGCCACCTCACCAAATCCGCATGGAAGATTTGGCTCATGCACGAGAAATGCGAGACATGAGGGAGCGTTTTGAAAGGGAACATAACGAAAGGCATCGGCATTCCTCATTTAGTAGTAAGTCTTCCATTATAAGTAATTCTCATATAAAACAGCCACAACCACTTGCTGACCATGGGGGTCCACTGATAATTTTGACAAATATAGTGATTAATAAACTTTCAGTTTCTTTCCAAAATTGGTTTGCATTCTACCAAATAAATACTTCCTATTGAAGAGCGATAAATGATCGTTAAGATGCTTGCTTTCCTATCCCAGGACACAGAGGGCCCCTGGAAGGGTCACCCCTCTATAAATATGGTTTAAAAAAATGTTTACAGGGTTGCAACCAACTCTACTTACTCTTTTTTACTTGGAGCAATTAAATAGAAATTTAATATTTTGTTGATATTTTTCAGGTCGTGACCTCAACTACCCAGATCATCCATATTTTGAAGGGCGTGGAGAGGACGATTGGAAGCATGTGGAAACTGTAAGTTGTTTTTATTTATTTTAAATAATATATATCCTATTTACATGAATATTATCTCTACTATTTGTATATTCATGTACACTATTTTAGTATTTAAGGATTTTTTTTTTGAGAATTACATTATCCAAATCCATGTTCACATAACTACTATGTGACTATATTGACGTTTAATATTTCAGATGTTGGAATGCATTGTGGGAATGGTTGACAAAACAAAACGAGCAATCAATATGCTACGCCAGCGAAGTATACAAGACCGAGAAGAACTTGCGTTGTGGGCCCGTCGCCATGCAGAAGGCACGGAAAACGACATAAAAAAACGGGTCGGGGACATGATGGCGCACACATTCAGGCAGACAGATGACCGAGTTTCAGAAGTTAAACGGCGGGCTGGTACGTCACGGATTACATTACAGATGGGTGAATGCATTTCATTGCCATATAAAAACTACGCTTCTAACTAAAAGTAGATTTTCACCTGAAAATAGCAATTCTCATACTGTGTATAATACATACTGTAGATAGCTGCACATCAAAAATATAAAATTTTAACCAAATTCCCATCATGTTTTTTTTTTGTGATAACCTTTTTGTTTTTTTTTTGTTTTTTTTTTATTTTTGTGTTAATCTCACCCATAGTTATCATATGGTGATGAAATGCACTCCCCATCTAAACAGTAGTAAAACATTACTTCTCAAGTTTCGGTCTTTTTGTTTTATAATGGTGAAAATCTACTTTGTCCAATTTTCTTTTGCTATTTCTATCAAATGCTTTTGGTTTACTCTCTCTTAATACCCATTAAATTAAATTGCTCTTTTTTGTTGCTCAATAAATCAAAATATTTCTGTTTATGTATTCAAAATTTATTTTAGATAATTTCCAGCTAATTTGAAGGTTTATTCAAAGAATACATAAAAAGTAACGCGTGTCCATTATTTGAGAAAGACAGTATTTTTGAAACTTTAAATAAATCTTTAAATACATTTATACCCTGAAGCATGTTAGCGCAGTACTGTATAACCTTAATCCCAAATATATCACAAACATTGTTAGCACTACCTTTTTTTTCCATACACTCAATGCATTTGGTTTTAGGTGGAGGGATTAAAATATATTTATCTGCACCTGGACATATCCAGAAACACCTAAATGGGTTGTCTACATTTGTATACAATAAGATTGCACAATTTCCTGTTACCACTTTGTCTTAACTTTATGCAAACCATTGAGGTTGTTTTATATGCACAAACAGTTATACATTTTAATTTTAAAATTACCTCCAATAAGATTTACCTCTGCCTTTTATTGCTATTAGAAGGCTGTAAGACATGCTAGGTTCGTTGTATGCAAGTGCCTCAGGTTTAAATCTTTAATTTCTATAAGAGGAAGGTTACTGGTACCCCATTAAGTTATTGGAGTATGCATTATGCCAATACTGTATTATAATTTTAGAACTGCCTGGGAAAATATCCCAAAGGTCAATGGAGGGAGTACAATTTTATTACCTGTTGATAACAACAAAAGGCTATGCAACAAATTATGCTATATATTTTATAGTATCAGTCATTATAAATATTCAAACCGTAATACAAGCTGTGTTTAAACATAGGAACAATGATGTTTTCACCTTTGCACCAAAGTTGGTTTATAAATAAAACTTAATTTGCTTTTCAACAGAAGAGGCTGTAAATGAGGTAAAACGGCAAGCTGTGACGGAGTTACAGAAAGCGGTACAGGCCGCAGAATTAAAAGCTAATGAGTTAGTAACGGCTGAAAGAGCTAAGTTAGATCATGCAGTGTTGGATGCGAAGAGAGCAGCCACTGAAGAAGCCCTCAGTATGATCAATTCACAGGATAGCTCGAGTGAGGTAAACAACACAACCATATTGTAATTTATAATGTTTCTCTTAAATGTACACATTTGAGTTTGTGAGTTGTTTGCTGGATATATGTATATGACTGGGTGATAAACAACTCTTATGAAATATCCTTGATGGAATGGAATCAATAATTAAGCAAAATGAAAAAAAAAGCCTACTCAGCATGCCCTGATTTCTATCAGTGTCTACAATACCCAACATTGTAATTTCTTTTTTTCTTTTTTTTGTGTTACATGAATTATTTGTAATCCAGTCATTCCAATTTTGTATCTTACAGAGCTGTTGGAATTGTGGGCGGAAGGCAAATGAAACTTGTAGTGGATGTAACACTGCCCGCTATTGCGGATCATTCTGCCAACACAAAGATTGGGAGAACCACCACAAAATGTGCGGTAAACTCGCATCGCAGAACAACAGCACAGAATCCTCTTCTAATACTAAAACGGCCACAACACCCTCGCCCGTTGCCACCTCGCCGCCAAACAAAAATTCCACCACAAGTGATTTAAGCACAGCGAGCAAGTCTAGATCGTCATCACCCAGTTCAGCGCCATCAGAGGCAAACCACTAGATCTTGTGACTAACCTGACAGATGCTCAGCAGAGAACATTTATTTCTACCAGTAATATTCCAACATCAAGCTAGAACAATTTGGAGTATTCAACATATGGATTGTAAACAGAAGACTAAAAGGAAATGAATGCAATTGAATAGATTTGATGGTACCAGGAATTGGCCTCTTGTTTCTAGTACTGTAATCGATAATAGGACAATTTTGTTCAGCGCAGTTTTCACATGATTAGTAATTTCTACCGGGAGAATCATTACGTAGATGTTTTATCATGTAGATCAGAATTAATGTAACAGTTATATGTTTGTTTTGTTTCTCCCTTTTAAATTCCATCCGTTTCAATATTTTCTTAATTAGCTCATGTGGAGTTTTCCTTTTCAAAAGCCTGCTTGATTTTAATTTCATTTTTCTTACCGAACCTAACAAAAAAAGCTGTTTTTTGGGGTTTTTTTATCCAAATTAAGTTACATAGGCAAGCCTAGGAAAATATTTTGAGACCTATCAACTATGCGTGACCCATAAAGTGTGTATGTATATAAAATATTGTAAAATGAGTATTGATGTACAAAATGTAGAAGAAATAGCTTTGTTGTTATGTTTATTGATATGTGACCAAATAGTGTCTATGCTGCAACACATCATATTTTCTACATATAATCTTTACCATTTGAAGTCACCCATTGGGATAACTATAGTGTCCCCCACCCCAAAGCAAAATGGAATAGTCTGTTGGGCTGCAGGTGTGAGGTACAGCTGCCGTGAGTGTGTGTTTGCACAGCACAAAGAACGATGATGTCACACAGGACCCATCAGCATCATCATAAGAAACGAGTTGAATTCAATAATAGGTTTACTATTGGTCAATTAATTATCTACTTTCTAAGTTATAGAAAACTTATCATGTTATTGCTCATTGTAGCTAAGTGCTTATAATACGGTATTCAATGTGGTAATCCCATTTTTGGTAAGGTACAATCGATAATGTATTGTAACATTATACTAATTAAAGGTGGTGTAGATTAAATTTGTGTAATGCAGCCAGTATTTCCAGAATTTGTATTTGAATTTGGAACTAAATTTTGTTCTTGAATAATATAGGCATGTTGCAATCCCATCTCCCTCCTGCCCCACCCCCTAAGTCAATCTATGATTTACTTTTGTGAAATGACTAATGCACAGAAAGATGAGATGCTATGACACTCCTATATCTCTTTCCCTCTTCCCCCACCCTTGATCACAAATATTCATTGCCCAAGTTGTTAATGTTCATAATTTTAATACAGAGTTTGTGTTTGTTCTTGGCTGGTAATAGAGATCATTAAATCAAAGGAAGTTATAGAACCGAGAAGAAAACTATATTTGTTAGATTTTTTTTGTATAATGAGAATCGTAAATGTAAAACAATGCCTTATTTTTGTAAATAGAAAACCAGGTGTGTGCAATATACATATTTTTTTTATTATTATTATTTTTAAACTCGTCCACTCTTTGTTTAGTCATCCTAAATTTCTTTACTTTTCTTCATATTCATAAAATTGCATTATAATGATCTGAATGACTTTCATCAATAATGTAAAGACATCAGCTATGGACCAGGTGTATAATTCTTTTAAAAACTACTGAAGCGAATCAACTGCGACATTTATAGTACACGTTCTGGTTCGGTCATTCACTCTTGCTCAGTTGCTGTCTATGACAGCTGTCGCTAATGACAATTTCTATCTTCGTAAATACTTTTTTAGAGATAAAGTAGAAAGAAAATTGTATTCGTTTTTGTTTCTACTGGTAATTGAGTTATATATTTTTCATATATTTATCTGTTGTGATATTCAAATTTTGTTATACTTGTTGACCAGATCATTTGGGATGGAAACACTCGTAGTGTTTACAAGTTTCTTTTTTTGAATTTTTCGATTTGAAAAACAAGTATTTTGGGTCCCAATTGGATCTTATATTGGTGCTTAAAAAAGATGGAAGGAAATTCATTAATTCAAATAAAAGCTTTATGTGACAAGAAAAGCATGTTTTGATTTCTTGTGTTGTAACACTCTCACCAGTTCTCAACTAGTTCTCACCAGTTCTCAACTAGTTCTCACAGGTTTTCAACTAGTTCTCACAAGTTCTCAGCTGCTCTAGTTCTCACAAGTTATCAGCCACTTCCAACAAGTTTTCAACCAATTCTCACAAGTTATCAACCACTTCTCACAAGTTTTCAACCAGTTTTCACAAGTTACTAACCAGTTCTCACAAGTTCTTGATAAGATCTCACTATTAATTCAATACAATTACAGGTCCTCCTAATTAAAGACCCCTCAAATTAATGGCTTTTCTTCTGTGGTACCAAACTAACAAAAGCCTGTCATCTTTACTATTCAAATTAAAGCTAAGGACAACAAAGCTGCTAAGGACCATTGAAATTGTGTTTGTGATCCTAAGATTGAAGACAAGGTTCTTTTCTCGGATATTTTATTGCCTGTACTAAACAGAAATTTGATTTACAGTGACTGGTGCCATAAATGACAAATATAAAATAAATATCTAGTTAAAATAAATACATCAACTCAATAAAACAGATTGAATCATAAACCTACAGGTATCTACGGTTCATTTTACTATTTAAAATATGGGCACAAGACTGAAGCCATACAGAATAGGGATACAGAGCTGAAAGCGGGACAAACAGGTGGCTCCAGAACCAACGCCTAAAGCCTTGGTGCAGGGTCCCTGAATCAAATTGGTGGGGTTCATTTGAGAGGTTTGTTGTTTAGGATGTCCCGGAATTGTGCTCTTTAGACCGCTAAGAATAAAGAATTGGCAATCAGTGTAACTTTGTTTGGATCAGCAAAATAATATTTTTACTAAATATTTAATGATTAAATACTAAATATTTCTTCATTCCGTAGACAGGGTTTTATTCATTATCAATACATAGGCCTCTATAGTTAATAATTAATAGTCTCGACCTCTTGTGAGGCCATAGTTGATTCTACGTTTCGTTCTTTATTGGAACATTGTCATTCTTGACAATGTTCCAATAAAGAACGAAACGTAGAATCAACTATGGCCTCACGTCTGTCATTTTTCGGAGTCGCCATACTCATATTCGACCTCTTGTGTTATACAGTATATCTAAAACTAAAATATCTAAACGTACTTGTCGACCCAGAAATGCAAAATAGGTCGCAAAACCCGTATCCAGAAGTTCCTGGGGGTACCCACATGTTTACACACAATAGAGTGAACAAAGAAACATGCGTTTTAACCACAAATTGCGGGCTTATTTCAAAGCTTATTCAGTATCTTTTGATATTTAAATTATTTTTTCCACTTACTGTACTTTTATCTATAATTTAAAAATAACAATCACAGACTGTCTACCACGGGATTTACTTCTTCAGTGCATTAATTTTCTGATAATCCATGTTTTCATTAATTGAATGCGGAAAATTTACATTTTAATTGATAAAACAGAGGATGATATAAAAAATATATATAAATTAATAACTCAGTGCTTGAAAAAAATTGCTCCACTATGTGTGAGTCATCAATTTGTAGGGAGAGTGAATAGTGGTATTAGATCTGTAATGATATCGTACAGGCCTCTGTGGGCATGGTCTAAACGGTATGACGCCGCCGAAATAGCGATAGGTTGCGGGTTCGATTCCCACCAGACTTTTTTTTTCATACAACTATAATAAGGAACTTTCGTTGATAACCAATGTTTGATACGATTTATAACATCTCGTTCCTTATATTTGAGCACTGTATTAT